CAGACATAAAGATACTGGAGGGACAAATGAAGCTGAGTAGACGCCACTGGTGCTCCTGGTGCGACAGAGGGCTTCTCCGGGCCTGCAGGCTGGAAGAGGGGCCCACCTGTGTGAAGGGTCACTGAGAGCAGGAAGGGGTAGGGGCCCCTGGGGACTCCTGAAGACGAAGGAGGGAGTCCAGCTCCGAGGTGTCCCGTCCAAAGCCAGGCTGTGTTTGGAAGGGTAACTTGTGAGCCACTATGGAGGGTCAGCAAAAAATCCTCAGAACCAAAGGGTCCTGTGCTTGCTGTCTGGAGCTACAAGAAAAGGGAACTCTGGGAAGACTGACCCGGGGCTTGGGGTGCAGGGGAACCCTAGGAGATAGAATGGCTGGTCACCAGCACAAAGGAAGACAAACTTGGGAGCCCTGGCCTGGGCCTGACAACACAAAGTGGGGCCTCACCTTCTACCACAGCATCCCCTCTACCTGCCCGCAGGCAGGAGGGGCCAGGGATGCACAGGGAAAACACTTCCTGCCCTCTGCCTACCCTCAGCTCCCCAACCTTTGTCCGTGCACATAACCCTACCAGTCTGCCCTCCTCACCTCGCCGCTGGGCATCTCCATTCTGCAGACACTGGCAAAGGGAGGAAGAATGAAGGGCTCCGGGGAGGAAAGGAGGACCTAGAATATAGTAGAAGGGGACAGACTGCCCCTATTTTACCTGGTGCCACTCCCCCACCTTCCAGACATTGGGTGGGACAGCGGCATGTGGGAGAAGAGCTCTCCCCCACCCTCTTCAGACGCCATGTGCCCACTCAGAGGCAAGAGGAAAAACACTGCCCAAGGACAGACGCACCCACATGATTTGGGTGGTGGAATCCTGGGACACATCTGGCAAGGACAGAAGGCAGCGCTGACCCCGTTTAGGCACAGCTCTAGGTAACAAGAGAGGAGGGCTGAGGGCAGTGTGTTCCAGGCCAGGTTCAGGATGGGAGGTGGTTAGAGCAAGAGGCCCAGGCGGGCCGGGAGACTGGGGAATAGAGGCTCCCACCCAGGAACCCAGGAGCTGGTGCAGACAGGATTTTAAGGATGACTTTGGGGTCAGAGGATGAGAGTTTGGGGTGGGATCCTGCCTTTCCAGCTTTTCCTGAACACAGCCAGGAAGCCCTTTAGTTTGGCTCATGCCATGTCAGATAGTCAGGCCACCCCAGGGCTTGGGACACTGCCCAAATCAAGCTTCCTTCTAGGGCAGGGGTGGGCAAACTTTTTGACTCGAGGGCCACAATGGGTTCTTAAACTGGACCGGAGGGCCGGAACAAAAGCATGGACGGAGTGTTTGTGTGAACTAATATAAATTCAAAGTAAACATCATTACATAAAAGGGTACGGTCTCTTTTTTTTTTTTAGTTTTATTCATTTCAAATGGGCCGGATCCGGCCCGCGGGCCGTAGTTTGCCCACGGCTGTTCTAGGGCCAAGTTCCTGAAACTAGAGGCCTCCAGCCCCCTGGGTTTGTGGCATGAGCTCACCCTGGAGAGGTCAAAGTCATGTGATAGGCATGGTGCATCTTCCTGAGGGTCCGTTTAACTTCTAGACTTAGTTGGTACCATGAATAAACTTGGTGGCACATATTTGTAATGCTTATACGAGATGATGATGATAATAATAATGACAAATCCTTGTAGGGTGTCACTTATCTAAGTTCACACAACGATAGTGGAAGCAGGATAAGAGCCCACTCAGTGTGGCTCCCAAACCATCCCCAGTCAAACTTTATAGATTACCCTTATCAATTTAAAACAGTCACATGTATAAAGGGAGTTATAAATTCAACTACAACAGCTTTAAAAATGTGATTGAGGTGAAGACACAGTCCACACGAACGTGTAAGATGCGGGGCCAGGGATTTTGTGTGTCTGGCACTGGTCAGGCCAGTCCACAGACCTGAGGGGCAGGCCCTTTCTCTCCCGGCTCGGGGGAAGTTTGGGAGTTCTGTTGGGTCTTGAAGCAGGGTGGGACTCCAATGGTCTCGTGACTCAGAACCGTGTGTGCTTTTTAATGGGTGGCCTCTGAGGTTCCCCTCCTAGAACAGCTAACATTTGTTAAGCACTTCCTCTGTGCCAGACATCTTTCTACTCATTATCTCATTTCTTTTCCCCAACAATTCTAGGAGGTTCCCATTTTACTGGTACAGACTCGGAGAATAAAGCACAGGCAATGAAGGTGCACCGGTGACCAGTTAATAAATGACAGAGTCAGTATCCAAGCCCTGGGCTGTTGGTCTCTGGGGTCAGAACTACAAACCATCCTATGGCTCTCATCCCCCCTGATGATCTGAGTCTGTGGGTCTGGAGTCCAGGCCTTGAACAAGTGCCCCAGGAGGTCCCTGGCCACTTTGAGAAGCAAGGCCCTATGGCAGCTGTTCTCAATCTGGCTGCGCATTAGGACCACCTGAGAAGTTTCAAAAACTATTAGTGCCCAGCCCTTCCCCAAAGAGAGGCTATTTGGTCCAGAGTAGGGTGCAGGTTGATGGGGTGCGGGTCAGCATTTTCTTTTAATGGGACAATGTCTTCATTTAATCAATCAATCAATCAATCAAATAGTCAATCAACAAAGATGTTTGACCACCTGCTCTGTTGTGCCCTGTGTTGCCCTGGGGCTGAAGAGACAAAGATGGGGTGGGGGTGGGAACACTGCGTGTGCCCTCCAGGAGTGCAGGTGCCCAACCTGCCCGCTGGGCAGAGCATGTCCAAAGTGTGGAGGTGGGAGGGTGCAGACTCTTTCTCTCCTGTTCTCCCTGGGTGAGCTCTAGAAAGAGCCAGACTCCCCAGATGATGTCCTCAGCTTCTCCCGCTGGGGAGCCTTGGCCCCCACCTGAGAAGATGTAGTTACCCAGGTGACAGAAGCACAGGTTGTCAAAGAGAACAGGGCCCCGAGAGACCCTCCATGTCTGGAGCTCTCAAATTGTAGCAAGCGGCTGACCAAAGTGCTGGGCGCTCATTCAATGTGAAGACACCCGAAGCCCAGCCCAAAAGTTCTGATTCCTAGGTCTCGGGTGGGTCTAAGAAATACGTGTTTTTAATAAGCTCCCAGATGGCTCTGATGCACACTCTCAGGGTCCTGCACTCCCCAGGAAGGTTCAACAACACTAGTGCCCAGGCCCATCCCTAGAGAGCCCGGGCAATGTTCCTAAAAGCTCCTGGGCAAGGTGTCTGCCCTCCCCCCCCCCCGCCCCCAGGGCCTTGTTTAGGATTTGGGCAGGTAGCCACAGCGGCAGTCGTATCCTGCTACCATTAGGGCTTTGAAACAAGAGGAGATGAAAACAAGAGGCGGGAAAGATGAAAATAAAAATGCCAATGAGAAGGTGTAGAAAGAGAGAAGCAAGAGAGAAGGCTGGACAAGAAGCTCCTATTGAATTCACTCGTCACCCCTTACATCTCTCTCTTTTTATTTTTTTTAACAACATTTATTTCTTATTATAATAGTTATTAACTGATATAAAAACTAACAATATGAGTATATGAAAACAAAAAATGATCTATAATATTACTTATATTAATCACAAAAGGCCTTAGTATGGCATATATAATCTATACTAATAAAAGGGTAATATGCTAATTAGACCAGACATCTTCCAGACAAAGCCGTGGTGGTGGTGGTGGAGGCTGAGGCAGAGGCAGTTAAGGGCAATCAGGCTGGCATGGGAGAGTAGTTAGGGGTGATCAGGCCAGCAGGGGAGGGCAGTTAGGGGCGATCAGGCCAGCAAGCAGAGGCGATTAGGGGTTATCAGGCAGGCAGGCAGGTGAGCGGTTAGGAGCCAGCAGTCCCAGATTGCGAGAGGGATGTCCCGGATTGGAGAGGGTGCAGGCTGGGCTGAGGGACCCCCCCCCCCTCGTGCACAAATTTCGTGCACTGGGCCTCTCGTGTATAATAGAATATATCTTATAACTCTATTATATATTAAACAAGAGGCCCAGTGCATGGATTTGTGCACTGGTGGGGTCCCTCAGTCTGGCCTGCAGGGATCGGGCCAAAACCGAAACTGGCTCTCTGACATCCCCCAAGGGGTCCCGGATTGTGAGAGGGTGCAGGCCAGGCTGAGGGATCCCACTGGTGCATGATTGGGGCTGGGGAGAAACCCCAGGAGGGCTCCAGGGCATGTCTGGCCCATCTTGCCCAGTCCCGATTGGCCAGACCCCAGCAGCAAGCTAACCTACTGATTGGAGCGTCTGCCCCCTGGTGGTCAGTGCATGTCATAGTGACTGGTCGAACGGTCCAACGAATGGTTGGACACTTAGCATATTAGATTTTTATTATATAGGATATGGTCATTAATATAATTAACATAATTAATATAATATCCTAATTAAAATAAGTTATTAAGTAAAATTATCATTATAAGATATGTAATATAATATGTGATTAATATAATATTTAATAAAATATATAAACTTGACATGTAAAATTATTATTCTTTTTTACTTTTTTGTTTTGCTTTTATTCGATTTTTCAAAAAGATTTTGTTTTTCAGGTAATTAAAAACCAAAGTCTACATTTTGGGGTCAGATTTGGGAGGGCATGGGAGTGGAGTAGAGATGGCATGTCACCTTCCTCATACATACGTTCATACATTCCTACACATGTGCACACTTACATACATGCACACACTTCTATTCCACTCTGTGGCCCTAGACATCATTCACTCAAACATGCCCCTCATATCACATCCCCAAAGTTAGTCTCAGGGTTTTATTAGTTGATATTACTAAATTAATACTTATTAATATAGGATTTATTATCTTATATTAAGTGTAAAATAAGTTTCTTTCCTCTTTTCCATTTCTCTGAATTCTAATGAAAACTGGCACCAGGGGAGTGAGGACAGTGGCCGCATTGGGGTGAATCACCTTCAGGGACTCGTCAATGCCTGGCCACCTCCCACTTCCCCCATACCCCCCAGACTGCCTGCAGTCTCTTCCACCCCTCCCTGGCCTTCCCCTCCTTCCCTGTGCCCCGGTGCCTCAGTCGCTCTTCTCCCCCTCGGGCTGAGGCTGGTGCTCTGGACAAAGACTGTCCCTCCACAGGCGGTAGGTGATGGAAGCGGAGACAGTGAGCCAGGCCAGATAGGGCAGCAGGAGCAGGGCGGCCAGCTTGTTGATGGGGTGCCAGATCAGCGCCGTGGTCACCACCAGCCCGTAGAGCAGCAGCAGGTGCAGCAGGGCCTGGCAGGGGGCAGGGTGGTCAGGCAGGCTGGTCTGAGACCCGGGGCCCCGACCTTTCTGCAGCACCCTGGACCCCCTGAGCCAAGTTCCTGGGCTTTGTGCACTCCACTGGAGCTTGCAGTCTGCCCACCTGACCTGCCTGCCCCTGACTGACCTGCTCCTGCATTACTCCCACTGTTGAGCTCTTTGCACCTTACCAGACCAGGAGTGTGGGCTGCGAAAAAGAGAGTCAGGACGGTCCAGCTGATGGCGAGCTGCACAGCATAGAGGCCGAGAGGCAGGGCCAGGTGCCGCCCGAAGCCCCCTCCCAGGTCCTTCCACACCAGGTAGGAGGCATAGCTGTGAAGAGATGGCGGCAGGAACGCTCACAGGGAGGATGTTCCATGGCAAATGGAGGAATCCCTCTGCCATAAGGGCTCCTGGTTACAAAGAGAGACCCCTTGTGGGCTGAAATGAGGGTGAGTATGTGTAGGCATCCTTTGATGGCTGGGAGGAGACAGTGGGGGCAGTGGGAATGGTGAGGTGGGTGAGGCTGGGGAGACTTGGAGAGGACAGGCTGGAATCCTAGGCAGGCATAGAGGGACCCACATAAGAGGCAGGCTGGGGCGCCATCCCTTTGGAGGTCAGTGTGCAGCAGTAGTTCAGGTGCAGGGGCTTGTTCCCACCCCAGTGGGAACCAAGTCCGGGGCAAGAGAAACGGGTGCTCACCCCATGACAGAGTAGATGGCAGTCCACACAAGCAACAAGATTTTGTGGGGTGGGCACCAGGGCAGCTTCATCAGGTTGTCACACCAACCAGACATCCTATGAGGGGCGAGGAGCCAGACCAGGATGGGCCCCAGGAGGGGCAGGGCCACAAAGATGGCCCCTTGCGGCCACATTCTCCTCCAGGAGGCAAAATCTAGGGGGCAGAAGGGGGTGCAGAGAACATGGTATCGGTGAGCCTTCCCCTTAGTCCTTTCCTTGTGTCCCTCGTCTGCTTCCTCCTCCGTCTGACACCATTCCCTGGCCTGAGCACCACCCCCTGTCCACCATAGGAGGTCTAGGCATGGAGGCTATGGCCCCTGCTTGGTCACCTCCCATCCTTCTCCTGTGAGCTCTTACTGCCCAGCCCCTCTTCTGGTTTCCATGGACTTGCTTTTCCCACCCCTCTCCTCTGGCACTCGGAGGATACTGTCCAGTATTGATAATGGCTTCTGAGTTAAAGGCTCCTCTCTTGCAACGTGGATCTGAATCCTGGAGCTCAGGCCCACGCGTGACCATCTTTTGTACCTCCCACGGCAGGCGGCACTTGGTCAGGCCCTCAACGGGGACAGTGTCTTAAACTGAACTCAACAAGCTGACATAACCGACCCGAAAGGACCACGTTTGGAAGGCGGGAGCCTGAGATCCCTGAGGGTCTTTCCTAGTCAACAATGGGCCAGCCCATCTGCCGGGTTTATCTTCCTGGGCCAGACGGGCACATGCAGGGCCCGCCCAGCCTGAGCTCCCGCCTGAATGCAACTCAGCACTGGGGGATCTTTTCTCTGAAGCCTCAGGTCTCCCCCCCCCTCAGGGGCTGGGGGAGGGTCTCCCTACATCTATCCTCTTCCAGAGGTTCGGTGGCACAAACACACACGCCCCGATTTCTGTGGCCTGACCTCGCAAGGAAACAGCCCCCTGATCGTTTATTAAGCTGCATGCTCATTTGCATGTTGCTGTGAGGCCATTCCCACATGGGCCGATGAACAGACCCTCCCCCAACCAAGGCCCCACCCTATCATTCTTCTCATTTGCACCTGATATGTCAGCCCCCCGCCCCTCCCCCCATGATCAACAGGATTGAAGGGAAAAACCAGTGGTTATTCTCAGCGTTCTGGGGTGACTGACTGCCCACTCCATACTCTCCTGTCAAGGGCCCTGACCACGTCCTGGAGGTTCCGGGGACAGGACTGACCAGCCTGCCTGCCTGTGCATCCTTTGATTTATCTGTCTTTGCTCCCCACTGTCTATTTGTTCATCTTCTGCCTTCCTGTCTCTCTATCTCTGTGTTTTCTATTGTTCTATCCAGCGTTGGAGGCCCCCCCTCCCACCCCCACCCTCTTTTCTCCTGCTCTCTCTCCACCATTCCCAGTGCAGCCCCATTCTCAGGCCTGTGTTCCCCTTACCTCAGGCAACACCTCCCAGGCTGGGTACCCGATGATGTGTGAAAGGCGGAGGCGGGTGGGGGAGGGAAAAGGGCAGAGTAGGGCTCCCAGTGGCCCGCCTTTCTCCAATGATAAGGGTGGTGGTTTTGGATGGGGAGCCCAGGTTGTTGCCTGCATGGCTCTGAAGGGCTCTCTCAGATCGGGGTCCCCTGGTCTGCTGGTTGTGGCCTCTGGAGGGGCCCCTTGATGGGTGATTGAAGCTTTGGCTCTGTGAGAGCCCCATCTCCTGAGACAGATCAGTCCCAGCTGCATCCCGTGAAGCAGCTCTGTGTCCACAGGGGTGGAAGGGACCCTCAGATGTCTCTAGAACCTTCCTGTAACTGAGAAGAAACCCAAGTGCCATTTTGGAAATGAATTCATGATACATGGACACAGCCTCTGGTTGTAGCCTGCTGGTCGGCAGGGCCTTTCCTGGCTTGGGCGTCAAGCTTGGCAGGTCTTTCACAAGCCCCTAGAGCAGCGGTTCTCAACCTTCCTAATGCCACGACCCTTTAATACAGTTCCTCATGTTGTGATGACCCCCAATTTCATTGTTACAAATTGAACGTAATTAAAGCATAGTGATTAATCACAAAAACAATATGTAATTATATATGTGTTTTCCGATGGTCTTAGGCGACCCTGTGAAAGGGTCGTTCAACCCCCAAAAGGGTCGCGACCCACAGGTTGAGAACCGCTGCCCTAGAGCTTTATGACTCCGAGGAGACAGCCTTCCATGCGACTCAGACCGAGCTTTTCCCGGGAAAGACTGACATCTCCCCTTTCATCCCCATCAGCGTTCTGATCACTCACTGTCCCTTGCTTGTGCTTTAGGCGTGAGGTCCCCTTCCAGGTTGGCTGCTCTCCACCCTCCTTTGCCCACCTCTCGACTTTGGGGACCCTGGGAGCTGTTTATCCCACGCTCTCACCTCCGACCGCCGCCCCCCCCTCCCCGCTCCGCCTGCCCCAGAAGGCAGCAGGGGGGTGGGGTTGCAGTCAGAAGCTAGAGAATCATTAACTGAGATGAAAGTGGCAGTTACGTATTTTTTAGGGGAGACAATACCTGGGGGGCTGGGGGTTCGCAGTGGTCCCTCAACTGCAGGAGGCCAGGCCATGGCGATAACAGTTACCACGCACTGAGCACCCACTTTGTGTCGAGCTCTTTAGACTTATTAGCTCAACAATGACAATGATCATCCCTCACAAGAGAGACATTGTCTGCATTTGACAGACAAGGGGCTCAGAGAGGTTGAGATCCTGGCCTACGATGACCTAGGTGGCAGGTGGGTCACCGGGCTTCAGTGTTGGTGGTCTGGATCCAAAATGCATCTCTTAGCTGGTCCACTCGTTCAGTCAGCAAGTCTCTGTGGAACACTTGCTATGGGTCAGGCTGTGCCAGAAGCTGAGGACATGGCAGCAAACAGCTTTAAAAATCCCTTTTCACAGGGAGCTTTCATTCCAGCGGCACCACCTTTCCTAGACGGACTTTCTCAGTAAGGAGTCGGGTGGCAAACAGCCTGAAGTTCCGCTCTCCCTGTGTCCCTGCCAGCCCGGAGTGTGGGCGGGGTATGGGTCCACCCCAATGCCACCAGCAAATTGCGATTCATTAACCCTCTGTGTGCCTCTCTGTCACTCTGTGCCTCTCTCTCTCTCTCTGTCATCCCACTGGCAGCACCTGGGAGCTCCTTAGAGATACAGAATCTCACACCCCCACCCCCAACCTATGGGACCAGAACCTGAATTTTAACAAGATCCCTAGGTGGGCCTGGCTGGTGTGACTCAGTGGTTGAGCATCGACCCATGAACGAAGATGTTGTCGGTTCGATTCCTGGTCAGGGCACATGGCCGGGTTGCAGGCTTGATCCCCACCCCACTAAGGGGCGTGCAGGAGGCAGCCCACTGATGTTTCTCTCTCATCAATGTTTCTATCTCTCTATCCCTCTCCCTTTCTCTCTCTCTAAAAAAAAAAAATCAATAAACATATTTTTTTAAAAAGGTCCCTAGGTGGTTCATGTGCACATTATAGTTTGAGGGGCTCTGGTTAAGGTTCCCTTCTCTAACCTTCTGCCATTTTAGTAGCCTCTGGCTGGGGCAGGGCACTCACCGGCAGAGGGCACTGTAGGGAGGGTAGGGAGGGCGTTCTCCTGCACCAGGGGTTGCGCCTGTACCCAGGTTATCTCCTCTCTGTCCCCTCCCATCCAGACCTAACTGGCAAGTCCCCTGACTTCTCGGATCCTCGGCTACTCCCTGACCTCGGCTGGACTTTGCCAACAGACAGGGACGGGCTCCCCCCCCCCCCCCACTCCAAAGGAGGGCAGCTAGGAGGCAGGTCTCTGCCGGGAAGCACGGGGCCACTCCTGCCTGATTCCCCGCCCACCACACTGTCTGCTGGCGTGGTGACAGGGTCTGGCTGACCTCTCTTTTTCTCAGAGAAGAAACTACTGTTCCCAGATACTCTGGCAGCCTCTGGGAGCACCTGCCTGCTAAGGTGAGCACGCCCCTGGGGCAGCTGGGGTTGGGTGGGCATTTGGTGGGGCCCCTGAGGGCTCACGGGAAGACTCAGGCCAACTCAGCCAAGCCTGCAGAGTTGAGACCTTCTGCTGGAGGAGGCGAGGGTGGAGGGGCGTGGGAGATGGCCACTGCCCGTGGGTGTGAGGACCACGGGGCTGATGCTATGCACTGTGGATAGGTGTGCTCTGCTGATGAATGCTGCCCATGACTGAGGTTTGGACCCATCCATGTTGGAACTTTTTATGTCCTTCAATCACCGAGATCTATCAGGGTTGAGTGGGTTTGGTAAGAACCAGTGCCTGCGAGAGGGGCTGAGAGTTTCCTCAGCTTTGCAGCAGGGGCCTGGATCTTTGCGCGGGAGGAGTGACTCCCTAGGGACAGGCCATGGTAGCATTCCAGGACCTTTGTCCTGGGGAGCGGGGTCTGGGGCAAGACACTGGAGGCGAGAGTAGTAAGGAGTCAGGCGCGGGGCTGGGAAACTCCGGTCTCCATTGAGCTGTTTGCTGTGCTGTCCGTTCAGGACCCTCCTGGGGAAGGAGGATGGAGAGGGCCGAGGCCTGGAGACAGCTGTCAGCCTGGGAGACGGGGGCTGAGCTGGGGAGGAGTTCACCCGCTCCAGGCCAGGCAGTGAATGGGATCCAGGTGGGCAGCCCAGGGGGCTTCGGGGGTCAGTACATACCGACTGCTCCAGGTGGGGAGGCCGGGCAAGGGGCTCTGCTGAGCCACCGTGGGGTGGAGAGGACTTGGACTCTGGTCTTTGGAGGCCCCAGGAAGGTGGTTGCTATAAAACAGCAGAGCCTCGCCCTTCTTCCACTCTGGCTGGCCCAGCCCCGGCCACTGGTACCTCGATGGGCAGGGGTGGGGGTGCGGAACCGAGGATGTGCCTTTAGCTCCTTCTGTTAGTTGTACTTTATTTTCATTTCTTTCTCTTCCAACGTCATCTCTGCTAGAAATGGAAAAGAGGCCTGGGAACCACAAGGGCAGGAAGAGAAAGGGAGTGTTTCTAGAAGTCCTGTCCTCCCTGCTCATCCTCCCTCTGCCTCCAGCTGTGGCTCAATAATCTCCCCTCGTCCTTGCTGTGGGGAGAGAAGTTGGCTTCCTTATCTGTGAAATGGAAATAAAAATAACAGTAGCTCAAAAGGCTGCAGACGAGAGAGGCCACGTAGAGCGCTTTAACGCCGTGTGCAGAGCAAAGCCCTTATAATAATTGCAGTTATAATTTCAATTACAGTGGGGCCTTGACTTACGATTGTCCCGACTAACGAGTTTTTTGAGATACCAGCTGTCTCTCCGCCCGATTTTTTGCATTGAGTTGACAGAGTAATTTGAGTTAACGAGCTCCTTAATGAGCTCCTTTACGAGCTCGGTCTCGGAACGAATTAAACTCGTAAGTCAAGGCCCCACTGTACCTCTAATGTGGAGGATCCCAAAGGCATGGGTGGGGCGTCACGGGAAGCTTGCTGCCCGGCCCCATTCCCACAGGCCTGGGTATTGCCAGCTCACCCGCTCCACTTGTGTGCCCTGCGGGAGGCCTGCAGCGCTGTCTGCACAGCTGGGGCCTCAGAGGGAACAGTGCCCCACCCTCCCTCCCTGTCTACAGTCTCAAGGAGGACACAGAGAGACAGACCCATCCAGTCCTCAATCCAGTCCTCAATCCTCAGGATAGAGGAGCTTCCACCCCAGTCTGGGAGGAGCTAGGAAGGGGGATTAGGCTCTATGGGCGCCGTGGAAGGAAGGAAGCAGGTGGGCAGTGAAGGAGCAGAGGCTGGGGTGAGGCCTCAGCTCCCCGTGGCTGGTTTGAGTGAAGGGAGTGGGGAGAAACGGAGGCCAGACCCTAGGGAATCAACTGTGGAGTGAATGAGTCCTATTCCCCCAGAAGGTACTTGAGAGCCAAATACAAAGCCATCTTTGGTAAGACAACTTCTCTCAGTGCCTGGTACACAGCTGGTCCTCAGAAATGTTCATCTGCGTGGGGAAAACAGTAAAGGGAGATTTTGGAGGCACAAGACTATGTAGGGCTGATGAGCTGGAGGAGGGGAGGGGTCCAGGTGGGAAGAAAAGGCAGGTGGGGAGCACAGGTGAGGGGTGAAAGACAACAGCATGAGCAAAAGCCAGAGGCGAGAATGAACGAGGTGTGAGGAGCTCAGTCTGGCTGGAATGGAGAGTGCTGGAAATCGAGGAGGAAGAGGGAAGGGAGGATGGGGAGGCACCGTTTCTGGGGGGCCTCGGAACGGCGGGCGTCTGTGCAGGAGGTGCTGGAAGGCGGTCCCAGTCCAAGGCCCTGCTGCTGGTGTAGCCGGGCAGCCGGGTGAGCCGGGGGTCAGTACAGGCTTCAGCCCCGCCTCATTCCAGTCTCCCTGGAGGCCCCACCTGTGTTTTTCTTTCTCTTTTTGTTTTCACTTTTAATTTTTGTTACTCCTGTGAGCTCCCTTCCGACCTTTCAGGCAGAAGGAGGGGCATAAATAAACAAGCATGTTTGGATAGCGCTTTATCACCTAGGAATGCTTTCCATGTGAGCTCAGGCCAGCCTCGCGATCACTCTGAGAGGTGATTTTCCCCCACTTGTAACGGCTTTTTAAAAAGAACTGCAAAGTTAATAGGAAATCCATGCCTGGTGTGAAAAACTCAGAGGAGACTGGAAAAAGAGTTTAAAAAAATGGAAAGTCCTAGTTCACACCTTCCACCCCTCAATTTCTCCTCTTTCAGTGACGGCCAGGGAAAGGCTGGGGTGAACCCTCCCAGACCTGCACGCCCAAGACAAGAGTCACCAGCACATGCGGCTGGCGACTGAGCACTGGACCCAGAGCAAGTCCCGAGGTGATGTGCAGCGGGTGTAAGGAACACAGACCGACTGGGAAGGAAGGATGTGAACTGTCGCCCTAATAATTTTACATCGATTACCTGCCAGCATGATACTATTTTGAAGATAGTGGGTAAGATGAAATCTATTATTAAAATTAATTTCTCCTGTTTCTTTGCACTCTCTTACTGTGGCCACTAGAAAGTTTGAAATGATATACGTGGCTCACATTACGTTTTTATTGCACAGCTCTGCTCCAGACCTTTCGCTACAATTCATACCCGGGCTTGGCAAAAGGCGGTGTACAGCTGTGAGTACGCAACAGAGTTCATTCTTGTATTATTTATGTATTCGTTACTTGCGTTATGCAAACCTACTTTTGCCCACTCCTGTATACACACCCATAAATATGTATCTATACTTCTATATAGTTTTGTTATTTACATGAATGAAATCAGAGGATGTCTACTCCTGGTGAATTGCTTTTCTACATACAGATTTTTTTTTTCTATATCAGCACGTGTAGATCAAGGTAGGTACTCTGACAGGTGAGGAAACTGAGGCACGCTAAGCAATATGACAAGCGCACTCAGCCAGTGACCAGGGTGCATTTGAACTCACATGCTCTGAAGACCAGCTCTCTCTGCCTCAGGGGAGTTTAGTTTGAGGTTTAGGTCATGAGGAGCTGCCGTGGGCTCTTGAGTAAGAGAGATGGTGACGTTCTCTTACAGCAGTGGTTCTCAACCTTCCTAATGCCGCGACCCTTTAATACAGTTCCTCATGTGGTGGTGACCCCCAACCATAAAATTATTTTCGTTGCTACTTCATAACTGTAATGTTGCTACTGTTGTGAATCGTAATGTAAATATCTGATATGCAGGATGTATTTTCATTGTTACAAATTGAACATAATTAAAGCATAGTGATTAATCACAAAAACAATATGTAATTATAGATGTGTTTTCCGATGGTCTTAGGCGACCCCTGTGAAAGGGTCGTTTGACCCCCAAAGGGGTCGCGACCCACAGGTTGAGAACCGCTGTGTTACAGGAACTGCTGTGACTGAGGTGTGCGGGCTACGCTGGAATATAGACAGTTTGCTCTATCATCGCAGGCGTTTGGACGCCAATCTTGGCCTCTACGACATTGAAAAGGGTTAGCTTGGCACTGACTTCTTTAACCCCCTGCCCTTGGCCTTGCTTGTTACAGGGGTGCAGGGGAGCTGGCAGCATCCAGTGACCAGGCAGATGAGCTCCCATGAGAATTCCTTCCAACCTGCCCAGTTCCTGCTGCTGGTGGGCGTCCCGGTGGCAAGTGCCCTCCTTCTGGTCCAGTGCCTGCGATGGCACTGTCCTCGCTGGCTGCGGGCCGGCCGGAAGCCGGACAGGCAAGAGGAGCCAGTGCCCGATCCCACTCCCCTACCCGAAGATGAGTCCCCACACCAGTACCCACCGGCCGTCCTGTCGGAGATGGCCGCCTTCTACCAGGAACTGCACACGCCCACCCAGGGCCAGACCGTCACCCGTCAGCTGATGCACAAGCTGCTGGTGTTTTCGGCTCGAGAGGTGGATCACCGCGGCGGCTGCCTGATACTGCGGGACATGGGCATCTCGCTGCTCATCCCGCCAGGTAACAGCGCAAGCTCACTTTTCAGCGTGGAGCTGTTCAGACTGCGTGCGGCACAGGGTACCGCATCGAAGGGAACAGTCAGACACCGTCCTACTTTTGAAAATTCTTTACATTTAAAAAAATACATTTTTATTGATATCAGAGAGGAAGAGAGAAGGAGAGAGAGAGAGAAACATCAACGATGAGAGAGAATCATTGATTGGCTGCCTCCAGCACAACCCGCAATGGGGATCGAGCCCACAACCCGGACATGTGTCCTGACCAGGAATTGAACTGTGCATAGGTCGATGCTCAACCACTGAGCCACGCTGAAAATTGTTCACATTTTGAGTACGACTTTATTGACCTCAAAGACAACTTCCCGGCAGGTGGGATTAAGGTGCTTGATCTAATGAACAGGCCTCCAGTAAAGGGAACGGAAAGTGGAGGAAGACCTCTTCTCGCACATTCGCTCAGGCCCTGTATGGGCCAGCGGCGGCCCTGCACGGAAGGCGGGTGACTGGGCCAGGATTACACCACACGTCAGCTCACAGTTGTCTTGCCTCTGTCTGTACTGCCTTCCATGTGGGCACCTGGTCTCCCGTCCCACCTCCCCTCCCAGGCTGGCCTGGCCTCCCCTGGGGCAGGGTGTGCCTGCTTGTCCGTTTGTCCAGCCCATCCCAGCTCTCCGTCTCCCCAGGTGCTGTGGCCGTGGGCCGCCAGGAGCGGGTGTCACTGATCCTGGTGTGGGACCTGTTGGATGGCCCGTCATTGTCCCAAACCCAGGCGCTGGTGAGCCCTGTGGTGGCGTGTGGACCCCATGGGGCCTCCTTCCTGAAGCCCTGCACCCTCACCTTCAAGCACTGCGCGCAGATGCCCAGCCACGCCCGCACCTACAGCAGCAACACCAACCTGCTTGACACTAAAGACTGGAAGGCCCTGGGGAAGTCAGGGGTCCACACCTCCCTGGACGAGTGTCGCATCCAGCTCTCCCACTTCAGGTGGGCACCAGCCCCTCGGCCTCTCCTTTTTGCCCCCCTTTTCTGCCCACCCCATCCTCATCTCTGCATGGATCTGTCCCAGGTGGCCTGCAAATCCCTTATTTCCCCATGTCCCTTCTCGGTCCCTCTGTCCTAATGTGTAGGACAGCTCGTGTCACTCCTACCCTGTCCAGGGCTGCACCCGCCCCCCCATGGTCTCTCTGCCTGTTTAGGAGGCCTGACTTCACCCCAGCCCTCTTTCTGGAGGGGCCCTGTCCCATCCCCACCTTTGTCTCTCTAAGATTGTCTATACCCTGTGCCCCTGTTCAGGGCTGTCCCCCAACTGCCTAGGGCACGTTTGTCCCCTCTGATGCCCTAAGACACCAGCCCATCTCTTGTCTGTCCTTAGTTCTGTCTTTCTTTCCTTCTTTTGGTTAATCCTCACCCGAGGTTTTCTATTGATTTTTTTGAGAGAGTGGAAGGGAGGGGGAGAGACAGAGCGAGAGAGAAACATCTATGTGAGAGAGATACATCTATTGGTTGCCTCCTGAATGTGCTCTGACTAGGGCCAGGGATCTAGGCTGCAATTGAGGCACATGCCTTTGATGGGAATCGAACCCAGGATCCTTCAGTCAGCAGGCTAATGCTCTAACCACTGAGCACCCGGCTAGGGCAGCTCTGTCTTTCTAGGATCTTAGGCCCTTCTTCCTCTCTTTCTCCTTGCGACCCATTAACCAGAGTGGGACCAGCCATCTGTGGGCCCTTCCAAAGCCTGGTGGCCCTGAGCCCGCTGTCCCCCTGTCCTATGCCGAGATGTTTGCGGGCTCTTCTCTACACTCTGATGGTCACTGCACGTGACTCACTTTTCGTCCCCCTACCAACTCCGCCTGCCCATGCCCTCCCTATGCACACCCTGGCCTGCTCTCTCGGCTCCGTGGAGGCCCCCACGGCGGCCTCTGGCACAGCAGGAACTGGGTGGCCAGTGCACTACACCAGTCCCTGCCACCGTCTCCCTCTATTCCGCAGCCTCTACACGTGTGTGCTGGAGGCACCCTCGGGCCAGGAAGCTTGCAAGTGGCTGCAGCTGGCAATGTTCTGCTCGCCGCTGGCACCGGGGCAGACCCACCTGCAGCTACGCGTCTACTTCCTCAACAACACGCCCTGCGCCCTGCAGTGGGCCCTGACCAACGAGCAGCCACATGGCGGGCGCCTGCGCGGGCCCTGCCAGCTCTTTGACTTCACTGGGGCCCGAGGGGACCAGTGCCTAAAGCTCAAGTACATCTCTGAGGGTGAGCGAGGCCTGGACAGGGCAGGAGGGAGCCCCACTCGAGCGAGGGGTCTGGGCCTCCCCTGGGGTGGAAATGTGGGAGCCTCAGGTTCCTTTCAGAGACTCGTGGGCAGGCTCCAGGGGGGCCCTCGGGCTTCTGCTGCTGCCTCGAGGAGTCCCCAGGCTCTGCCCACTTCCTTTGTCTGTGGCTCACTCAGCCCTGGTCCCTCTGTGGGAGGACAGGGTGATGCAGGGTGGGAGGAGGGATGGAGAGGCCTGGCACCCCCAGGGGGGAAGAGGGCGGGAGGCTTTTTTGTTCCACTTGGATGGAGCTGGTGTGGAGGGAGGTCTCAATCTTCTCTGCTTGGGCCTCTTTCCCGTGTGGCCTGGGCTCTGGGAATTGCCCCTGGGACCTAGGGCATTTGCACGGGCACACATGCGTGGCTGCTTCGGGGAGTAGTGGATGAGAGGGTGGGGGTTACAAGAGTAGAGGGATCTGTGAGCTGTGTGTGGTGGTAGAAGGAAGACCACTCACAGGGTCCCCTGCCCAGGCTCTGGGACTCCCACTCACTTGACTTTGCTGCTCCTGGTCCCTCACCACTGCACCCCGCACAGCGCCTGCCACACTGTGGAAGGCCCTGCGCTCTGAGGCCTCCACTCTCGGTCCCCTCCCCAGGTTGGGAGAACGTGGATGACAGCAGTTGCCAGGTGGTTCCCCATCTCCACATCTGGCACGGGAAGTGCCCCTTCCGCTCCTTCTGCTTCCGGAGGAAAGCAGGTAGTCAGGCGCCGGGTCCACTTTCTGTCCTCCCCTCCCCTCCCTTCCCCACTGGTCACCCTGGAGCTCAGCTGCTCGGCATCCGGCCACGCTCCAGGCCTGCTCAAGGTGAGAAGCCACACCGACCTTTGCAGAGAGAAAGATGGAGGATCTTGCCCAGCTTCTTCAGATTTCCGAAGCCTCACTGTGGAGTCCCTTCAGGTCTTCTGCTCTCTCATGCCGGGCCTTTTCCTCTCTCACCTGCCCTGTCCTCTCCCTTTTGTAGCCAATGAGAACGAGGACTGCTCGGCACTAACCAATGAGATCATCGTCACCATGCACACCTTCCAGGATGTGAGTGGAGCTGAGGGCAGCGGGAGGGCAGGGCCTGGGAGGAGTGCTGGACAAAGTGGGGGAGGGGTCTGGTGCCCAGTACGTATGGCCCTGATCAAGCAGGTAAGATGGCACCGGGCCTCCAAGTTGCCCTTCGTCCCTGACTCTCTCTTGTCTGTTCATGGATGAATCCAGTAGGAGAGTAAAAGAACCAAACCTCCTCTCAACCCAGGGGCACTTGGGCATCACAGAGAAGTGGTTTCTTTCTAGGCTGATGGTCTCCATCTGAGAGATGGTGCTGAGCATCTCCAGTGTGGAGAGTGGCCAGGAGGGGGGTCGTCAGTGGGTGGGATGGGAGCGACATATCCCACTCTCTCAAGGGAAGATGGGAAGAACTCAGGGTTGAGAGTCTTTGGGGGACCATGGTGGCTTCTTGGCGGAGAGCAGGCAGATACCCCTCAGGGGTATGAGTGGGGAAGGAACCCAGGAAAGGAGGGGTGGAGGGAAGGGGACATGTATGGCTGAGTTCAGCATCTCTATTTCTGGATGAACCTGCCCAGAACTTCTGGTGTCTAAGGATGCACCCTGCTTGGTCTTCGAGTCCCAGGTCCCAAAGAGCTCAGCAGGAAAACTTAAGGCTGAAGGTTCTGGGGTCAGGGAAGCAGCGGATGGGGGCCCTGGGTGGGGGAGGGTGGCATCTTCTGGTAACATGGCTCTGAGTGTCAGGCTGGAGGACGACATGAGAAATGGAGGTGGGTTCCCCAGCTTCTTGGTCCCTAAGTGTGTTTCTGGCCCCTCTGCTGGCACAGGGCTTGGAGACCAAGTACATGGAAATCCTCAGGTTTCAGGCATCAGAGGAGGAGTCCTGGGCAGCGCCACCCCCTGTCTCCCAGCCGCCCCCATGCAATAGGTGAGGTGGGCTGCTTGGGTTGTTGCCTGGGGGATGTTCGGGATTCACCCCAGTGCCTCTAGGCGAGTATGGCACTTGGGGTGAGTAGAACCAGACTGGGTCTCTGGTCCTCCACTCTGAGAATACCCTTTCCCCCCGCCCGGCCTCAGGCTGCCCCCTGAGCTCTTTGAGCAGCTGAAGATGTTGTTGGAGCCGAACAGCATCACAGGCAACGACTGGCGGAGACTGGCCTCCCACCTGGGGCTCTGTGGCATGAAGATCAGGTAAGAGGGGCAGGATCTTCCCATGGGAGAGGGGGTTTCAGACCACAGAGAAGGGAGAGAATGGCTACTCCCACCCTATCGCCCATAAAAGGGGCAGCTCTTTCTATCTGTCACGGTATTGTCAGTACCCAGAATGATGCCTGGCTCCAAGTAGGTCCCCAATAAATACTAAAAAATGAATCAACTAACATGTAAGTTACATATTGAGTGCTTGACATACTGTGCCCCGAGGCATAGAAGGGCAGACTACAAGAGAATGCGTGTAAAGCATGTACTGAGCGCCTGGCATGTGTTAATGGATGTTGGCAATGATGGAGGCAATGCTAGCATGGTCCCTGTCCAGAGACCAGTAGGAGAACGAGTCTGAGCTAAGCCCCGGGACCCAGACTCTGAGAGCAGTGCTCAGGGAAGACTTCATTCGCCCAGGAGATGGGACTGGAGCTGGGCCCAGCTGAAGACAGGGTGGATTTTTAAATCACCCAGTTATTAAACATTTATCCAGGACCTACTATGTCCTGGAAAACTATGCTCAGCTTTGGGACACAAGATGACTGGTCCCAGCCCCAGGAGCTCGCAGTCTAATAAGGGATACAAAGAGCTTAACAAAATAAAGGCATGTTCCTTGTGCCTTACTGCATGGATCCTACATCGCAGAGCAAGTTGAAAACAGATAGAGGCACCGAATAGCTAAAGCAAGAATCATAACGACTTGCGAAAGTTATGATCAGAAGTCTGAACTGTGGGGTGCAGAATGGTCTCCTTGCCCACAGCTTCAGGGAGGTGGGAAGGGGGACCCGCCATTCTGTTTGGGGGGAGCAGCAAGGGGTGTGGGTGGGCTGTGTGCACAGTGGTAAATGGATAGCCTGAAGAAGGAAGGCTCAGGATGGGAGCAGGAAGGAAAGTTCCAGAAAAAACAACAACCCCAAACAAACCACAAAACAAAACAGGGTGAGGCCAAGTGGTGGATGAGCCAGAAAGTCAGGGATGTGGGCTCGGTTAATAGGCAGAAGAGACTCTGGAAGGTTTCTGAGCAGGAACCACTGTTTCCCAATGGTGGGCAGGATGCTGTGGCCTGGAGAGAGGAAGGAAGAGGGGAGAAGTGGGGAAGGGGAGGGGGGTGCAGAGAGGACAATAGTCCCCTTAGAGGTCCTCTCATCCAAGCCCTGGGTGTCAGAAGAGGAAACAGGCTTCAAGAGGAGTGACTTTTGAGCCAGGGCAAGCTCAGATTTCAAAGTCCTGGGCCCTCCCTCCCCACACCTTGAGTCTCCTGGAAGGCAGGCAGGAGCCGGATGAGCAGCAGAGCTGGGGGAGGGTGTGGCTCTCACCGAGCACCCCTCCCTCCTCTCCCCTCCTCCCCACGTCTGTGGCCAGGTTCCTGTCCTGCCAGCGCAGCCCTGCTGCGGCCATCCTGGAGCTGTTTGAGGAGCAGAACGGCAGCCTACAGGAGCTGCACTACCTCATGACCCTCATGGAGCGGCTGGACTGCGCCTCCGCCATCCAGAACTACCTGGGCAGCCCAGCCCAGGTCCGCGTGGGCACCTGGGAGAACCAGGACCTGGAGCTGGAGCTGGACGTGAAGCTCTGAGTGCCCCCTGGGGCGGGGCAGGGTGGACACGGTCCGCAGTGCGGTTTGCCTGGACACCCTGGAAGAACGTAGGCTTCTGGCTGTGCCCACCGACCTCATCAGAACCCTCAGACCATGTCTCAGGCCACTGTGAGGCTGGACTGCCCTTGCCAGCCTCCCAGGGTCTGGACCACCTTGAGACTGGCTTTGTTCTGCCTGCAGATCCCCTCCTGGGCGGCAGGGGGCACAGGAGCCCAGGAGATGGACCCGCATGGTAGGCCTCTGAGAAGCTATTTCATAGACCAACAGACTGTTAGGTTGCAGTCTGACACCCCTTGGGGACTGGTCAGTCCACAGTATTCACTGAGCACTTGGTGGTACCCAGCATTGGACTGGGCATCATGCGGAATCCTGGAATATTTGGGGGAATTTGGAGTCTTGACAAGCACACAGTTCTCGTGTGGGAGTCAAGATGTACTCATATGAGCTGAGGGCAAACTCTAAAACAACGGGTAAGGGTGGGCAAATGTAGGTCTGTAGTTGTGAGTACGGGAAACAGAGTTTATTCTTGTATCATTATTTATTAATTATTGTATTATTGTCCATACGAACAACTGTAAACCGACTTTTACCCACCCTGCATCTCCTGTGGTTGGGGATGTGAGTGTGGTGTGAACTGTATGCTTCAGGAGTTGAGGAGAGAGGGAGCTGAGTATGGCCTGGTGCAGGGAGGATGTTGGAGAGAGACTTGAATATGCAGAGTGGTTTGGAGATGCTTAGGTAGGGGTAGGGGTGGGGGGTGACTGAAGAGGAGGAGCCAGGAGTGAGCATGGCATGCTGAGGCATTAAGCAGCCTGGCCTCACGTGTGGGAGGTGAGGGTCCATAGAGGTTCAAGGCCAGATCTACAGGTGGGCAGTGCTACCTGGCTGTCTACCTGTCTCCTTCACCTTCCTTTGTCTCCTTATACACACCTTATCTCTCTCCCTCTGCCATTACGTCTGTTAAAAAACATCAAAGCTGAAAAGAAACTTCAAGATTATAATTCTTGCCCAACCTTTTTATCTCTTTATTTCAAACTGTGTGAGCATTAAATGACTTCATTTTGCGGTCACTATCCATCCCTGAATCTGGCTCTCTGTTACTCTGTGTATTAACATCTTTTTGTCTCTACTTCATTTCTGTGCCTGCCTTTGTACGTTTCTTTCTCTGAAACCCTCAGTCATTCCCCTCAGGCAAGTGTCTCTAAACCAGTGTTATATATCAAAGGCGATTGAAAGACACTGGGCTATGCTAGGAATGGATGGGTGGGGATTTTACCTCATGAATCAAGATCCAGTTTAGGGTCAGGAAATAAAGGACAAGGATTAAAGAACACCCCACCAGTCAAACAAATGTTTATTCAGTACCTACTATGTGTTAAGCACTATATAAGAAGAGATTAATAGCTGGGTTCCAAAAAGAGAACAGAGGGTTTGACTCTGGCAATTCTTTTGTTTGCAAACAGGTGTTAATTTTTTTAAGGGCAGGCGAACAAACTCTCTGGCAACACTAAACCATTTGCTTCTGTATTTAATTAAAAAACATTAAGCCTTTTTCTATGATGAACAATGTTGTATAATAAAATATGAAAATTGCCTTTCTTTGTTACTAACTGTATTTTGCTCAGATTGATCCATTTGGTTGTGGGAATGCATGGTTTTATTTGGTAAAATTATACCAACGGGGGCAGGTTGGAGGAAGCATTTTGTAGACGGTGCTTCTAGTATGAAAGTTGTCTGGGTCCAGCATGGTAGGTCAGGCCCTTTTCTTTTTTGTTAGAAGCAAGTGGGGCCCTTCCACCATCTCCCTCTTCCCTTAGCCCCACCCATCCTCTCCCACCCTCCTCATTAGGCCTCCCACCCCACCGGGAACCACTACTCCAGGTCGGTGCCTCGGCCTCCTTCCCTAGTACCTGGCTCAGGATCCGCCTGATAAGAACATCTTTCTCCTCTGGAATCCCCGCAGTTTCCCCCACTTTCCCCCATCATCTCTTCCTTGCTTTCCACGCCAGCCAAAAGCATCTTTATTTTGTGTTCCTCCCTACCCTGGAACAAATCATTTTAAGAGTTTCAAGCCTTCTGGAAATGTGAACAGAGGCCAGGAGGGTTTCTGATGGGGTTAGTGCCTTCTGGCTCCTCCCTGCCTCATGGTCAGAATGGACTCAGGGGAGGCTTGGACACCTTGGGGTAGGCGGCAGGCTGCCTGACCCCTGTAGCGTGGGTCCTGCCTTTCCCAAGTCAAACCCAATTGGCATGTATTTGCTGGCGCCTAAAGCTGAGATGTTCTGGGAGTGTACAGAGACAGTGCTCAGCCCTGGCTGGAGCCCTAGTTAGAAAAGCTCTCATCTCTCTGGCCTCAATCTATTTACCCTTAGAATGGAGAAACTATGTCCCAGGCTCTCCAAGTGTCTTCTTTTGATTCCATAGATGATGACCCAGGGGACATACCCTGGGGGATTTTCTTTGTGTATTGCCTTTATTTATATTTATTTATTTATTTATTTATTTATTTATTTATTTATTTATTTATTTATTATCTTCACCTGAAGATATTTCCCATTGATTTTTAGAGACAGTGGAAGAGAGAGGGAAAGACAGAGAGAAATATAGATGTGAGAGAAACACAATGATTAGTTGCCTCCTGCACACGCCCTGACCAGAGCCCAGGCCGGGGAGGAGTCTGCAACTGAGGTACATGCCCTTGACAGGAATTGAACCTGGGTCCCTTAGGTCTGCAGGTCAGTGCTCTATCCACTGAGCCAAACGGGTGAGGGCTGTATATTGGCTTTAAATAGAACATTGGTCACTGCCTGTGACCTTACCGCCAGCCAGCCCTTTCCTGGTAAGTCATCTGCCTGGTCCCTAAAAACACTAAATTTGTGACTTCTGCTTTTATGCATGATGTGGAAGCCCATGCCTAAACGTCTTCCAGTTAGGTTTAGAGCAGGGAGGGGAATGAGCAGGAGAGCTCAGGCCTCAATCTGTAGGGATAGACTCAGGGGTGGAGAATATCCGGCCCACGTAAGGCCCATGAATTCATTTGGTCTGACCCTGCCAAGGCATTAGGAGTGAGTTAGTTAAATGTTTGACCAAATAGAGCAGGCTAACTTGTAAGTTGATAATTTTGTATGGCCTGTGAGTGATGTTATAAATATCCAAATGGCCCTGGGCAGAAAAAAGGTTCCCCACCCCAGGAGGCTCCTGTGCTCAGCGGAAACGTGTCCTCAGCACCCTGTCTGCCTGCTGAGTGACATGCATCCAGTGTCCAGATCTGTGTTGTCCAACAGAAATAGAATAAAAGCCACATATTTAATTCTATATTTTCTAGTGTCACATCAAAAAGTGTAAAGAGAAACAGGTAAAGTCAGTTTTGTTTTTTACAAATCATTCATGTTTATTTTTTGTGAAGTCAGTTTTAATAATATATTTTATTTAATCTAATATATCCAGACTATTATAATTCCTACATGTAATCAATATAAAATTAGTGGCATATTTTACATTATTTTTTTTCATAAAGTATTTGGAATTTGTGAGTATTTTACAATTACAGCACATCTCAATTTGTATTGAAAATGTGCTAAACTTATATTAGAAATATTTGATCTGTATTTAGCTTTCATAAAACTTATAGCAGAAAAAGTACATTTACATACAAAAGTTAAGCTAAAAGTGTTTCAAAAATAAAATTAGGTATACATTTTAAAATTTCAACCAGTTGAAATAAAATAAAATAAACGTGCTGTTCTTCAATTGTACTAGTGACATTTCAAGTGCTCAGTAGCTCTATGGCTAGTGGGTACTGTAATGGACAGCGCAGGTGTAGATTATGGATCCTGCTGGGCATAATTTATAGTGTGCTTGACCATTCATTCATCCATCCATCCAATATTTGCTGACTACCCACCCTGCACAAAGTATTGGTGATAACAGTTCAATGAAGAAAAGCACCCCTGTTCTGTAGGAGCTCCTGGGATGGTGGCAATCAGAGAGAAGGGCACTTTTCCTCCATCCCTCTCCACACCTGACTCAAGGAGGACATGGATGAGGTCCAGGAAGACCCTCTCTGCTGCAGGAATGGCTCACTGCAGTGGGATGGAGAGGCTAAGGATTGGGTCAGGTGTTCCTGGTTCACCCAGCACATCAGGTGGGTTCTTGGTTGCTGACAACACAATTCACTCTTACTGGCTGAGGCAGTCGGGAGACTTTACTCTGAAGGATGAATATTAATTTGGAAGGCTGAGAAATAAAGTTGAGGTAAAGTTTCCAGCAATGATGCCCTCAACTGTGCTGGACAACTAGCCCAAGGGGAAGAAACTGGTGTTACTATGGCTGCCACTTCCAGGTTGGGAACCAGACCTCACTGCCACCTCTGAAAGCTAAGGTCTCTGCTGCCAGCCATGTCAGCAAACATGGGAACTCCAAGCACTGTACTGCCTGCTTCTTCACTCTATCCATTTCTGAGTCGATCTTAAGTATGGGCATGAGATTGTCACTACCCTGATTGCATGCCAAATCCTAGCTGCAAAGGAGTCTGGAAATTTGAATTCTGATTTTAATATTGGGGAGGTAGGATTCATTACATGCAAATATTCCCAAATATGGAAAAATATTCAAAAGTTGATGGACAGCCATGACTATGACAGATTTCCACTACAGCCAGGGTGTAGTTAATGCTGTGGCCCCACGAAGCAAAGTCTCTTCACAAAAAGAGCCATGACATCAGCAGGTGTTAGTGTTATTCTATGACCTTCAGAATCATCTCAATAAAGCATGACAGCACACATCCCTCAGGACATCCCTCTGATCCCTGTACAATCCAGCAGGATCAGTGCAGCAAAAGCTCACCAACAGCAGTGAACTGATTTGCTCTCTGCCTTCTCCAGCCCCGCATGCCTTCCTGTACTGCAGAGGCTGAAAACCCACATCTCCCAGGCTCCTGGGGATCTAGATTTATTTAGGTTCTGCTGATCTGGAATCAT